GTTCTATGAAAAAGTATTTGAACATTGCTAATTACTCATTTGAGATCACAAAGCTTTTCTATAAGTTAAGTTTCACAATCAGTGACAAACAAGAAAACCACAGAGAGAACAGAGAGCTGAACAGTACTATGGTCCCTGATTGAACCAAGCTTTCAAGGCGCACATGCATGCAGGACAGCTGTGTTTTCCAGCTCTGCTGGAGCTAGAGTTGACTAATAATGCAAGCCACCTGCTCACTACTGCAAGGTTACATAGTTGTTCTTTCTCTCTGTCCTAAAAGAGCATGCTGTTTTATGTAGAAAAATGGTTTGCAGTTTGTGGAAGACTTACGGCCAGCAGTTGAGACAAGGTCTAGAAGTGAAACCTGATGTTCTACAGCAAATACATACATAAAGAGATACCAACTGCGCAAAATATTAAGGTAGAAAATGAGCTTGAATATGAATACATTCTTGCTTGGCTCCTTACCTTGATACTTGCAAATGAAACGTGACAAATATGTGACTGTAGCAGAGAAATTTCTTTTGAAGGTCCTGCATGCATTGGATATGGATTGCTGTCAAACTGGTGGTTCCTCTGACACAGTGCAGATAAGTTGATGGTTGTCAGGTCTGTTCCTTCCAAAGGATGCTCACAGCGCTGTGTTGTGGATTCCAATGCAAATGCAGAAGTTTTGTATGTAAATATATGAGAAAAAATCTTGAATTAATAGTGAACAACAACCTTTCCATCTTACAAAACATACAGTACACAATACGTACAGGAGTACCTGTCAAAAACTTTTTTGTTCTTAAACACACTGACATCATATGATGACAAAACCATTAGTAGGTATATTATACTTACAGTAAAGGAAAGGGTAGAACTATGTTGCTTTTGTTTTTATAGTTCCACTGTAGGAGGGTTTAAGACTGAAGTCCTTTTGACTTTCATGCAACATATTTGTATGCTTGGACTTGGTCTCAAAATACAGCTTGCTTTTTTTTTTTTAATATCAGTAAACATCTAAGCACACAAATGCTCAATCATGTTTTATTTGGTTGAATATGAATATGAGCCAAATACCTGCATTTAACAGAGAGCTCAAAGCACATTTGGCTGCATCCCATGTCCTATATATTCCATTCTATATGGCCATATATTCTGCAGAACACCACCTCAGTTATTTCTACTATTCACAAGGAACTTGCAACTTGCAATTCCTAATGGAAGCCAGGAGCTGTCAATTATGGGCTCCTGTCATGACATTTTGGGCAGACAATGCCAGCAAGGATTTCCTTGTTAAAGAGCCTCTTTCAGTATTCTGTGAGCAGACTGCCACCATGGATACTTTAGGATCTGAGACAACAACAAAATTCACAGAAAGCCATCACAGATGGCTTGAAAATATCGTAGCAAGTTATTAATATTCTGGGGATTGTTCAAAATATAGCAATACTGCAACTTCTCTTACTCACAAACCTCTTAAAAATAATCTCAGTTTAGCATAATTGTAATATGCATTTTCCAGATGCTGCAATAGACTGCAATAATTAAAGTTAGAATATCAATTCCTTCTATAGCTTTTTTTTTAAAGCCAAATTTCTGTGGTACAAATAATTCAAATTCAGATAATTTCAAGGTTTGGATGCTGACTCAGTCAGTCCTTTCCAGTTCAAGTCTGTGTTTGCCTCAAGGAATAGAAAATATTTCATTTTCTTGTTTGACAGTAGCTTTTTTTTTTTTTTTCCCCCCTTTCTAACTGATCACTTTTTCTTTCCTCCTTATTTTTCCCTACAGGGACTTGTTTGTAAGACATGAGTGCTCTTTGCCTGTTCTAACTGTAATTAAAAAGATGATTAGAAAGATTCATAATTAAAATATACAAAAACCTTAATGAAGAAATACAAGTCAGGATGCCTCCACACAAATTAAAAAAATATTGAAAGCAACAATGGAAACGTGTTTGTATCAGAATTTTAGAAACATGTTTTCATTACAGATAGTAAACACTGCATGATATTTCCTTGTATCATAGAAAAAATAGTTTTGAAAAGTTGTTTTAAACTTACTGGGAAATAAGAATTCTTTGTCACAAAACAAGCAAACATTTTTTGGAAGTACTAAGAAAATATTTTATGACCTCCATCTTACTCTGTTTCCCACCATCTTTCTCTAAGCTCAGTATTTCACTGGTATGTATTGACATGATGTCTTATTCTCCCTCTCATTATTTACCAAACACCAAAACCAAGTGGGTACCACCAGCTGTCTCCAACATCTTGGGAATTGGAGCTACTATTGCTCCCACCCAGACTCTTTTTCCCAACCAGCTGTGCAGAGACCAAAGGAAGAGAGCAATAAGCATGTCATGAGTACTCAAAGACTTTCTGTTTAGGTTGAGGTACACTTGGCATAAGAATGAAGCTATCTAAGCCTCAGAGAGCCTCTAAATCATACCCATTTGCTCAGTGAGGTTGTTTTGGCACTGGAGAGTAACTGGCATTATGCCTTTCTGCAAGGAAGAATTCACTGAGCTGTTGTTTTTCTGTCTGGTGTCTCATCTTTGCACTTAGGAATCTCTGTACGTCTCCTCAATCATTCCCAGAAACAACCAAAGGAAGACAGAATCTCCATCAGCTTCTACATGCAGAGGCAGCTGAAAGTTTATAGCCAGACAAATCTAAGAATTCAATATATTTCTAATCCAGCAGAAGCATGAAATAAATAAAGCATAAAATTACTAACCATTCTGGATGATATGAACACTCTGAAGGCCAGAGGAAATACTTCAAGTACACAAAGACAATATCAGCATGTCAAGCCTTTGGAGCAATGTTACATTCCGTACTTGAATGGCATGAAAAAAAAAAATAATAATAATAAATTAAAAACCAAACACACGTATGGCATATAAATGATTTAAAAACTACAATACCAGCTCTTCTATCAAAGAAAAGTAATTAAAAACAAAACAAAACAAAAAACCTGCAGGCACAATCCATTCCCTTGCCAAGTCTACATATGCTATTGAGAGGAAAATTTAAAAGGGAGGTTGAAGTTTCTTCCATTAATAGAGTGGATATTGCATGTATGGTTAAGAAAAAGGATAGGGTGATTTTACACACACTTTCTCCTTTCCTTTCCTAGAATTTCACCTGTCCTTTATTCTCTTCACAACAGAATATCTTCTGGCCTTCACTACTGCAGCTCTACATGATGAAATCCTTAGATATCTAATTCAGTTTCCTACAATGTGTGCAAAGACAAATTATTCCTTTTTCTGCTACAGCAATGTTTACTGGCAAAGTTATTTACTGTAGGGCTTCTAGACTGGACAAGAAGGTTCCCATGGACTTATGTTTAAGTAGGATGTTTAGACTAACTTAACCATCTAAAAGTAAGCACAACCATTTCATAGGATGAAAATATTGGTTTTTAAATAGTCTGCAGCTGAAAGCAATAATACATGAATGCAGTAAAAATGACTAGTTTAGCAAGGTTTCATTTTCAACTGTAAGTACATTCCACAGAAACAGCATGGTTTGGGATTAAATGAAAGTGGGTGTGCATCAAGAAATTAAAAAATAAAAACAAAATCAAATTTATCCTGCTTGATTTCACCTAACCCTTGTCTTAGTATGTCAGCACATTTGCAGATAAAGAGGCTTGAATACCATTTTGGTTCTTAACAACCACTATGAGACCACAGAATCAACAAATGTGCAGGACTGATTTTGTCCAGCTAACTGCAATCCCTCATTGTAACTTTACAATTTCTGCACTGTCTTTGTTTGTAGTACTACACGTTTCTTTCAGAGCATCTACTAGAAGTAGCACTGAATATTTACAGTTTTCATTTACGTGGAGGATAAGCATCAGATTTTAAAGCATGTACATAGTGATGACAGACAATGTATTTAGAGGGATTCACCCAGGGAAGAACAGTTTTCTTGAAGTTGCAAATAATAGATAATTACCAGAGACACGAGTTAGCACAGAGGGAGATAATATGCTCTAAAGAACATTATAATGTATCTAGAAAAATCAAATTAACACCACTTTCAGAAAACTCAAGCAAACACACAAGTTTTTACATTTTTCAAGTGTTTGTTATTATGTTTCCAGGCCCACACAGAACTGCGACTGCACTTAAAATTCTTAAAATCTTAAAATTACAGTATGTCCATTTAGTTTCAGGGTGCAAATAAAGAAGAACACAGCAATATCTGGCAACAGTGCCTACCCCTGTTGCTAAAATTGGAGATTTTTTCACTGCTTCCTCATTGCAATCACTTTTAAAATAGTGAATCCCCTTTTCCAGACACAAGAGTGCCTTTAAACCTCCCAGAAAGTGTCCTGCAAGCTGGTAATTAAAAGTGTTATTTCACACTTCATTACATAAGTGATATTTAAATTTAAAGATGATCCAGGCAGATATTACTGTATCATCATCTCAATATTTTAGCTGTAAACAACGTAGCTCATGTAATATACTAAACACACATGAAATACCATTCAGTACCTTATTTTGAGTGCTGAAGATGCCAGGCTTGTTCTGATTTGCAGCATCACCTAAGTAACAGTTTCAAAATTGAGAACGTGAGACCTCCAGTAACAAATGGAAGTTGTGTGCAGTATGCTGTCATTTCAGTGATGAACGAAAGCATAGTTCAGCAAAAAAAGATCTTGCTTCTCACCATTTGCTCTGAACTTGTCATTTTCTCTTTGCAAGCTTTCTTCATCATCTGTAACTACTTAGCATGGCCATGTGACTGGGAATTATAATATTATGCTCCCTCCAACTATGTGTCATTAAAATTACTCAACTTTGCTTTTCGATTCAAAGTCAGTTCATCTGCAGAGTATTTCAGCTGTCTCTGAAGTGCAGCCCCAAGAATATATGAGCCTTAAACATACTGAAGGCTACAACAAAGCTGCACCTGTTCTTCCAGAGTGCCAGAAAGCCACAGCAGCACCTGAACAATTGAGGTACTTCAGTCAAGATCCATTTTTACCTGTCAGTTCAGTCCGGGGCTTCTTAATGGTAAATAGATTCAGGTTTCCTTTCACACTGTCTTGTGCTGGGTTATTCTCGTATTCCGTCCTGTAAGCCACGCAGAGACATTTGCGAGGAAAGAGCTCTCTGAGATTTCAGTCTGTCCTGCGAATTTGAACAAAACCAAACATGCTCTGATCAGTTTCCTTGCCTCATTGGAGTCAATCTTGGCTCTTTTTATGAGCCAACCTGTGCTTTTCTATATGAAAAAAAAAAAAAAAAAAAAAAAAGTGCAGAGCTTTGAATACAAAAAGCTACTGCAGTTAATCAGAGGACTTAGCCCAGACTAACTGTTCCAAAATGCCCCTTCTGGAGTCTTACTTTAGAATAAAAGAGGATTTTGTTTGTTTTACTCATGCTGGAATAGAACCTTGTAACCTTTTTTTTTTTTTACTGAAGAATTCACTATGGCAATGCCAAGTACAGTTGTTCTATCAGTAGCTAATAGAGAAGCAAAACATAATGCTCTCCAAGACTCCAGGACATATTTTGGATCTATAAATCAGTGTTCACTCATTCACTATATTAGATTCTTGAGGAATCTAATCTTTAATATTTTTGTGCTATAAAACTGTTGCTCATGTACGATTGCCACAAGATTCTGTATCTGATACTGCCCACCACTAAGCAAAGTCATGATAGTAAAACATAGTGTACTGGCCAACCCTTTTTTTCTTTTTCTTTCTTTCCTTTTTTTTTTTTTCCCTTCACAAAACAAAAACAAACAAAACAAAAAAAAAACCAGCAAAAAGATCTAGGTTTGGTTTAAGGCAATGAAAAAATTGCTACAGAAAGCTTAAAATTTAAGACTTCAAGAACAGAATCACTAGAATTTTGTGAGGGTGTATTTTGGAAATGCAGAAAAGCACAGCAACTGCAATCAATATTTGCAGGATCACTAACATGGACTATATTCTCAGGCCAGTTCTTTTCTAACTTTGGCTTTATTCCCATGTTACAGTTCTGAACTCAATATACTTCAAAATATCTGACATCAGAATCTTGACCCGAGAGGCGACCTACTTGGAGACAGAAGAAGAAACATTTTTCTCAATTCAGTTCCTATTCATACGTGATTTTTTTTTTTTTTTTTAATAATAGCAACTGAATGGGTTAATCAACAAGCTTTCAATCAGCAAAAAGCTCTAAGCAATTGTCTCTGTTAAAATTCTAAAGCTGGGTTATCTGAGCAAGCCTCTGGCATATTACAATTTGTCCTATTCCAGTCTATATCCAAGGGAAATTGATTTATCAGATAAGGAGAAGTCTGAAACAAATGTATCAGGGGAAATCAGTGCTCTTCGTAGAAAAGTAGCAGTGAAATTTCAGCCACTTGTCAATCTCCATCACAGTGGTTTGTCAGTACCTGAAATATGAGGTTCTAAATAGAATGGCAATAAAATGTATATTACAGACTACTCTCAATCTCTACAAGTACAGAAGAAATTCAGTATCTAACTCCCCTCTGAAAAATACATCATGTATTTATTTATCTTATTTTCTGGATAACTGTTTCCAAATATGCAAAAGTTGAGGAAAAACTGAAGGAAAGAAATGTTTACTTTTAGAACAAGAAGTTAATTACTAAAGGATTATTTTACTGGGATATAAAGTGTCATTTCTAGCAGACTATCATAAAAAAAAAATTCCTCATCAACGGAACAACATTCCCTTCTCCCTGCTATTTTGCCATTATAGCCAAGCAATTTTGAGTTTATTTTTCCCCAATATTTTCCTTTTTTTCACTCATTTCAAATTCATTAGTAAAAGATATATTCATTAAACATGCTTTAATTGCTGATTCTGATCTCTGATTTTAAATTTCTGATTGCAGCATTGCTCTGTATTATAAACAACACAAGACCCATCTACCACTGAAATCTGTTCTACATGCAGATTGGTACTTTCTTACCAGCTGTAGTTCTAGAGTGATCTTTCTCAGATGCTCTGGACAGATTTGTTTTCCTTCAAACTCTCTTCAAATACATTATTTAATCTTCACGAAGACCATATAACAGCTGTGTTGAATGAACTAATAAACCCTAAGGAATTATGCTTTAGTAGTTTATATTACTGCCCTTAGCTCCAGCCCCAGCTGCCCTGACAAAATTGACTGTCCTCCCAGACCACTGGCATGTTAGAGGGAAAACCACATTATCAGTGTTTCCATACCAAACTATTTCATTTATGTACTAGATACAACAACGCGGATGTAGATTGCCAGTTAACCCATTCTATCATGTCCCATTTCAGCTTAAAAACAATTAATGTGTACTTCAGTGTTTCTCATGTACTTCCAAATTCCGTAGTACGCAGACTTGCAGTTAAGCAGGCTATTAAAATTCATCTCATTTCTGGTAACAAGGAAGATATGCGCCACCTAGATGTCTTTAAACAAATACATCCCCAGTATATATAGTACACATAAATAGATACTGTTTAAGATATGAAATTATGTGTTCATTATGCTGTTACAGAGAAAACAGAAAACTGTGTTTACAGCTTAAATTTGGATTTTCTCATCTTGAGCAGTAGTATGAGATTTTATCAAGAAGTCTTGAACATAACACTCATACTTAATGCAGAATCAGAGAACGGCATGTTTGTGTTTCCTGTTGTTATCCAAATCAGACAAATGCTTTGGACTCTGGACAGAGTTTTCAACTCCTTTAACCGTTTCAGGTTTACATTCAGTCGAATAATTATGCATTTATCTCTTAACTCTTGAAAAAGACTTTGCCAGGGTAATTTTCACAATAGAAAAATTTCCTTTTGGACAGTTTCAACCAATGTATCCCTTCCACGAATCTGGACTTTTTCCCCTGGCCCAACCCAATTAGCTTAGAAATCTTTTCTTAATCTCATCACAATTGCACTAAGATTTATTAGTGTCTGCACTGCACAAGATGCCGAGTTCTGCTTACAGAAGAACTCTGCCAGTATTCTTGTTGTCCCAGTAACATAACTGCTCTGACTAGTCACTAAGACTTCTGTCCAAATCTCAGTCCATTGCAAAACAGCAGTGTGAGACTGCTGAGTAATGCAGTTAGACTAAGAAAAAATATCTCCAAAAAGGCCACCATACAAAGCAATCCATACACACCATTAGGTACGTCAGGCAAGGAATATTACTTTGAACCTACTTAGTATGTTTTTACACATTCACTTCTTCCTCAGAAGTGAACTGTTAGATCTCGTAACATAACTTACATTATCACTTAATGATACCTGACATTTCTCTTTCTTTCCAAAGATGTTCTGAGCTTCTGTGGAGGTCTCTGGTTTCTGCTTTTAACTAAATCCTTGTGATGTTACATTTGCCTCAATTGCCTACTTTGTGCAACACACCTGAAATACTGAAGAGAACATGAATTGCAGCCTTCTGTAACAGGAAATCTAGATGGCCACAATTTTTTATTCTGCTATTTTTGTTTAAGTTAGAACAGAAAAGGAGCAACTATTGAAAAATGCTCATTAAAAAATTATATTTGAAAAGATAGATAAATAAGTATTTATTTAAATACTTTGAACCTGTTCACACAAGGCTCTTTAATGCTTTTGTCCTCTCCCACAACAAAGTAGCTATTTTATTTTATTTTTTAATTCTACCAAATTATCATAAGTATTCAACTAAAGGCACAAGAGTGCTAAGCTCTGCTGACAGCTTTCCTCATGTTACATACAGAATGGGAATAATGGTAAAAAACACGAGGATACATTCACACTGAGATGCTTAAAAACAATGTTGGAGAGGCTACATACATTTGTAGTCACAAATAACAGATGGTCCCTACACTTAAAATTATTAAAAATATGAGTTATTTTCATTTTCATCAGTATGGTATGAACTTCTCATAGTATATAGGTTGTGTGTTAAGGCCATGCATGGTATTAGCTCAAGCAGGCTGAAGATGATCGCCGAATTGAAATAAAAGTAAAGATTAATTTGACACAGTGTTTTTCTTCAATCAATATCATGGACAACTGTTTGTGAATTTGTGTGTGAAGCCAATCAAGTTAAAACATACATATATGCACACACACAAATCAAATTTAACCATGGGCATCAAAAAGCTTTCTCAGAGCTAGATTTTCTCTGAACAAAGAGACATATGATGCTTGTTTTGTATTTTTTGTGAATTTACTACTATATGGCTGTTTTCTTCTAACTGACAGCAGCACTGAGAACTCTGAACAGTGACTGAACTGTTCTGACTGTTCTCCAATTTTTTTACTATTTCAGTTCCTTAAAATGTATAAGCAGCAATCCGTAGCACTGCAATTTCTGTGATCCAAATTCACTATCTGACAAAAAGCAACAGAAGATCAGGGGCAATACACTGTTATCCCCAGTCTAGAGATTTTCTAATTATTCAGCTTAAGAGGACCAGGAGGAAAGGAATTTCCTCCAAACAGATGACTGAGCTACTGAGCCTGGAAATAGTATCACTGTCTATCACGTGTCATATGTTTTAGATGTACCTGGAATTTTTTGTTTCATTTTTAATTTTTCATTTTCCCATGCCAGATGATCTCTCTGAGGGTGAATCATGCTATTTATGAGATCCTGAAGACGAGAAGTTGAATATATATATATATATATATATATATACATATATATTATTATTATTATTATCTACATTAAGTTCACATGCCTTTTGTTGGAAGAGCTGGAAAAAAGACTGATAATTGAATCACGGCACTTCCATACTGAAGTCACTTCCTGATAAGCAGCCAAACTTGTTTTGTAAAATAAATAAATGAGAGAGCTTGAATAACTCAGTTTTCTTGGCTGGTCACAATCAGTGCTGTATTATTCTGACTAATACCAGAACAACACTGCTGAAAACTCTAATACTTTACTCCAAAATAATATACAGAATTCAACTAAGAATCCAACAATCCAACTGTCAAAGATTCTCACAGCTTCAATCTGAGCTTTTTTTTTTTTTTCTCTCTCCCAGATTTTCTGCACTAAAGCGAAGCCCTGCGCAGGTTTGACAGAGAAATAGATTCTATTGTCACCAAATGTAGGTTAAATACATGCATCTCTATACCAAATACACTACAGACTTCTGACAGTGGCACCAGTGACAGGAAGTATCGCTACCCTGAAAAGACAACTGGTTCAGGAAAAAGCAATCCACACCAACACCACCACTGAGAAGCACACAGCTTCAATTTGCATCTCACAAGCAAATAAGCATGACCATCCTGCTGACTTTAAAAAGCAGGCCAGCTGGAATGAGCAGATTATAAGGCCAAACATAGGTGAATGCATGTGCAGAACCTTTGAACATACATGTAGTCAAAGAGAACATAAAAACTCCAAGCATCTCCAAAAAGCTATTTGGAAGTTCTATTAAAGCTGTTCCTGATGTTTTACTGGAAGTAGTTCCCATCCTCAATAAAATACTTTCATGTTCTGCCATCACGTCAGTGAACCTTTGTAGTCATAATTTGGCTTCTACAAAAAACCAAGCCAGATGAAGTAGCTTTCTTCTTTTCACTTTTATAGTAACTGTTTTTCAATGTTATGACTTTAATTCAGAACAGTTGGGTGCATTTTTTTTTAATGTCAATTGAATTTAGAGTAATTGTAAGCTTGAAAACCTTCTTAAAAGTTCTGCTGACTAGAAAACATTCAATTTTAGTATTTTCTTCATCTTTAGAAGATTGATAATTGATCTCATACTTAAAAACTATTAATCCTTTATGGAAACACTCTTAAACATAGCTAAATACTTCTGTATCAAAAGATGATAGACTCTCAAGTGGAAGTAATAAGATTTGCAGATGTTCTTCACTGAATCTAACACGTTCTTGGTTCTCTTCATTCTGTGTGAAGCAGGAGTTCCTACTTAAAAAAGGCTTTTCTGTACCTACCCCAGTCACTGAAGCACAAAGTCAAAGCAAGGCAACACAGCTTAAATTACTTTAAAATATTCTTCTATCAAACAAGCTAGCTGATTTTATAATGAAGTGCCGAAAGAGAGCATTCAGGCAAGTAGAATGCACCACAAAGAGGCAGCAACAGTAGTTTCCAAACCAATATGTACTTGTAATAACGCATCAAATTACCACTCAGCATATTTCATCGATCCATTTAAAAATGTTACAAGTGGCCTTTGTGTAAAAGGACTACATCACTGAGAACATAAGCCTTATAGGAGCCTATCTACAGCATCAAGCACAGTGATCATTGATCAGCCAAGACACTTGACCAAATGGCTTAACATTCAATCTTATAAAACGTTATTCCCTGGTAAGAGCAACAACTGTTTCCCTGAAATAAAAAGACCCTACACTAACATCACAGGTTTTAGTCAGGAATCTATTTTTAAAACTAAAATATTTGTGTTCTTTGGTATAGTGAAACTGATATCAAACAGTGCATTAAATCAGGCGTTTACACTGACTAGGCAACAGAAACTGAATTGCTAAAGAGGCAGCAGCATCCAAGTTCAAATGTAAAAAGTCTTACTCTAGAATAGCCCTTAGTTTTGATGACTACTTTAAAACAGCAAAAGGCTGCATTTCCAGCTTCACTGTACACTGTATTTGTGCCTGACAAGTTCTGTACTGAAAGTAGGAGATATGATACAGAAGCAGCTCCACCATTACCACTCCTTTTAGTTTGATCCCAGCTGACTTTTACTATATGCGTCTCCAAGGTTATATCAGTAGCTTGTGAACAATCTGTAACAGCTGGAAGAATAGCATTAGTGGAGTATAATAATATTTCAGAAAACATAAGGTATTGATTAAAAAAATACGTTTTGCAGATGAATTTCTGTAGAAAATATTTCCTACCTCACCTGACTCCAATAGGAAACAATTTCACTTTTTATTAAAGTGTGCACCATTGCCAATTGTGAAACAGGGTGTAAAAAGTGTACCAGTGAACACCGACAACCTGCAGTGATGTCATCTAAGCAGTATAGGGAGTTCTAGAGAATCGATAATGAAAATGTGCTGCCACTAAGTTTATTCTTTCAAGTAGAAGAGCACTTAACATCATGCACAGCAAAGAGATCGTTCTTTAGACCATACTAAAACACTTTCACAAATGCTATTGATATTAATTATTTCACATTTTAAACGATTTTTTTAGTTCATTTTAAAGTATAGGGAGTAAATTTCTGTTTACAGATGTAAGTTATCATCAACAGACTAGAGTAACACCCACCTTCTGGTTACTGGGGCTAAGTGAAGGCCACAAACAACAACTGTACAAATACCTAAGGGCAATTTTCAAAATGATACCTACTTGTTGCTATCTGAATTGCTCTGAGGCTATTTCTAGTGACTTATTATACAAATGCCTGAATTATTGCCACATGATACTGCCTCGTAAGTAGTAAACACTGAGCATTTTTCTTATTTGTTCCTCCATCCTCCTTTAACCTCTTGCTTCCTAGGGCAAAAGTACACAAACAAAGGAACGTTCCGTATGTTTGCAACATAACTGTTACCACTTCGGCTCTCAGCAAATTCAGTTTGCAAGTATTTGGCTACAGTAAGAGATGATGTGATTTTTACTGGTTGATTTTTGTTGTTTTTTTTCCACCCAGAATGAACTCTCACACAAAATTGAAACCAAATCCAACTTATTTGTCATAATCAGTGCTAAAATGAGTAAATCACTATTAAGTATAATTATTTATTTCTAACCTATCTTACTCCAAACTACCTAGAGGATAAGGACCACACGCTGTAGGAATCTGAAAAAAGACACAAAGATTTGAACTGGAATGTTTACAGTTTTACCACAAGAAAAAAAATAAGTATTTTAGCCAGCTAAAATTGTTGAAAAACTGTAATTCTTCAAAGACAGAAGAGAGAAGGATATTGGCTGACTGACAGGCTTCATAAATCATCTGTCAATATTCCACACAAATTGAACCTTAGCAGCTAGGGTAGCCAAAGCATTATCTGTAGGAATACGTACCCAGTGCCACACAAAGCCTTTGAAACTAGAAGAGCAGGATAAAAGCACTGTATGGTGGCGATTTAGCTAGAGATGTTACAATGGTAAGCATTCAACCAGTAAATTTCAAGATGGAGCATGATAATATCATGATATTTAAGAATGATGGCTTTCTTTCAGATTTATTAGAAACATCTTAATGCTGAAGCTATCATAGTGCTCATAAACATCAGGAAATGAATCACACCAAAAAAGCATCTAAGGTTTAACTTGTCACTGCAAAAACAGCTTGGTTTTAAAATGTTCAGGAAAGTGTCTTTAAAGCTTTGAAGCTAATTTACTGATCAACTAATCAACAGAAACATTATCAAGGTCTAGAACGCATGCTTTTACATCAATCCTACTATATTAGCATGTTGGTTCTAAAAAATTAATTTTTAAAAAAGAAAGGATCTGATTCTAGATAAGAATGGATGTTCGCTGATCAAGAATGACAGAGAAGTATACATATGATTCTGAGCATCAGTTTCAAAATTCTTTCCTTTGTTGTAATATCATTGCATATTGACAGGCTCCTAGAAACTTTCTGGGAAACAAACCAAGCTATCCAAATTAAAAAAAAAAAAAAAAAAAAAAAAAAAAGACTGCTACCTGCCATACAAAACCATAACTCAGCCCATTGCTAGAAAAAAAGTAGCTGAGTTTGCTCAGCTTTTGGACTTTTAGCAACTGATTTTGAAAGGCAAAGTACTGTGAATGAACTCTTCCCTACGCATATGTCTAATTGGAAAAAAAAATTGAATCTGTCTATCCTGCCTATATCATTAATTAATCTATGCATCCATTTTGCAATGAAACCATTGTTTCACTGCTGTTCATTCACTGTTACGTACTGTCAGTTTAAATTATTATTCTATGACTGAACTAGAATTAAAGCTATGGTCAAAAGTCTACTTAATAAAAGAAAGAAGCAAAGCAGCTAGGTTGGAGTCATAGGGTGATTGAATAAAAAGAAAGAAAAAATGAAAAGGATACAGAGAGCACAAGAGAAGACAAAAAGTAATATTTGTTAAGGTAGACAAATTTTTACCATTTCCCAGTCACGATCATAGATGAAACGTTTTCAGTGAATAATCTTAAATAAAGAAAATAACTATTGTTGGAAAACAGAGAAAATGTTCTTAAGAAAGATCTGATGGAATAGAGGATAAACTAAAAATACACAGGAATTGCAGTGAAATTCAGCAGTGGGGAACTTTTTTCTAATATGGTCTGATTTCTTAATAGTCTGAACGCATCAAGGACTCAGATTCTCTTCTCTTCTGTAACCTGGCTTAAAAGAGCTTTGTTCCATGTCTGGTTTTTTTTCACTGGTTCCACAGCCAGCTGTCCATCTAAGCACTAAGAGTAACGTTCATCTCTCCTGCCTCAAGGCCAACCAACACCAGACGGGGTGGCCAGAAACACGCTTTAATTAAGTAGACTGTTTCATTTCAGTAACATCACAAAACACACAAACATCTCTTCCCTCTTCATTAGGTCACAGAGTAAGTAAAATCTTTGAAGTGATATTTAAAACAAATTAAAAGTTGCACTCACTCGCTTGTTCATATACAATATTCAGCCAGCAGTGTTCTGTACCAAACAGTCGATAAAGCAGACTCCTAAGAGAAAACAGAATATTCAAAAAGGGATTTAGTATAGATAGCAACGACAGAAGCTCGATTACCTAATCCAGCATATTGAAAAAACAGTTTACTAATCACAGTCATAGTATACATTGACATATTCGGTGCTATTTGATTTAGGATTTGTGAAAGACACAAGGAACTATGCAATTTTGATGGTAGTTCTGATGCAACATCAAGCACCGAATTATTTGCACTAGGCAAACACGGTCATACAGTACTAAGCTAGAAATTAAGCTTGATGAAATTCAGATATCATGCACTGCATAAACTACAACATCTTTTTTCCATCTTACTGCAAAAACAGACAGCAAAATTTTTCTTCCTTTCCAGATGCCTCCTCGTTTTAAACTTTCTCAAAACGGTCATGATGTTGCTGATTTTGATACAATAAGATAGAAATACATGATCAGATATTATTTGTTCACACCACTTATTATAAGGACTCTTTCTATAATAAATGACAAATTCACTACTTTGTCTGTAAGACTGATGTGCAAAATGCCACACACACATACACACACAAAGTCTATTTTGCTCATTTTCCATACTGGTAGAAATTCTAATATTATGTTCACAAAGCTTTGGAGCAAACATCACTCCTTATGGGAGCAAAAGGGCTTTGCAGTTTTTATTGAGTCCTGAAAATTTCTGCTTCTAGAAGTGCCCACTTAATAATAAGAAAGAAAAAAAAAAAAGACCCAACAGAAGTTGCTTTGCAATGCAGGATCACACAGATGTAACTGTTAAAAAAGAAATCAGAGTAAAATGAAAGCAAACTCTAGAACCAACCTAGGGAAAAGTAGTCATATGAATGAGAAGTAGTTGCACTTTCCACAAAGATAACTTTTATATGGCAGATATCCAGAAAACATGTATAGAAAGTTCTTGAACTCATTTGCAGCAGAATTGAATTGACTTTTCTCTTTTAATACAATATCCTTGGAAGGACATATTAGCATCGTGCATCAGATAGTCTGCTCAGTGTTTTTCCTAGCTAATGACTACAATCCCACATCTTATTGTCACAACACTCCAGAACTTTGCTATGCAATGCAAGCACAAAATAAAAGGAGACTCTTCCCCAAAAGATTTAGTTACCAAGTATAAAATCTCCTTTAAAGAGAAGTGAACATTGTATCTTCCTAACAAGATCCTCTCAGAATTAAAGCAATGATTCACCACCGGAGATTAGCATTTATTACCATTAAAATTATCCCTGTAAAATTCATATGCCTGTCCTGATTCTAACAATTTATAGCTCTGTTAATTCATGTGAAATAACCATATAAACTGCTTCTAAATTAAGAACTCCTTCAACTATATTATTGCTATCTGCATGTGAATTCAATTTAAGTTAATGAGAATGGCATTCATTAAAGAGAGCTTAAGGACGTGCCTAGGAACATGTAGCGTGCAAACTCCAAGTTTTGCCCTAGTTCTTCAACTCAGTAAATAGGCTCCCACTTAAAACCACATTTCTACACACTTTGCAGCCCAACTTCCTACACGTTTTCTATGGAATAAGGTAACAAATTTCTGGGAAATTCAAATGGTTAATTTTTGTCAATTTGTTTTAAATTCAGGTCAATTTTCATTGAGGTAAGCCCTTTTCAAGCTCAGTTAAGAAGGACTACATGCCAAACAAGTTTTCCCAAGTTTAGTATCTCTCAGGTTAGGATCTGCCAAACTTGGCTTACAGTAGAGCTGGAATTACAGTTCCATAGGGTTTGGATTGTAATTAAACATTGGATATTTAGTTTAATAAATGTAACACACGAGAACATTTATTAGAACACGTACTGCTGTATCATCATAGCTGGTTTTAAAACGTGAGCTCTACGCTGCACAACAGCAGACATCGTTAACTACAAAACTAGAAAAAACATTTGTGCATTTTTCATCTGCGTTCTAAACCATAATAGAGGTAACCAATGTATTATCATTCCTTTAACAGATCACGAGTAAATGTTAACAAGGGCTGCACAGAAAAGGTTGCCCTGAAAAGACATCAATGCTTAATCCCTCAAAAATAAATAGTATCTGACATGATACAGTCACTTTAACTAGGAAGAAGTATTCTGGCAGTGGCATGAATAATGTATCATTAATGAGTTACAACATTTGTTCAAAGCAGACCGCTATTATGGTAAAAAACACAATTCATTAAGCAAGATAAACTTATGTACACATATTTCATAAAATCCAGGCAGTTAAATAAGTTATCACCCATGGAAGAGAGAATGGAAATCCTTTTTCGCACAGTACCTGGCATAGAAAGAACATCAGAGAGAAGCAAAGAAAGGAAATAATTCAACATTAGAGCAAAATGACTCCTCTTATCAACTAAATCTATTGCTGCCAATAGCAATTTGGCAGTTAGTAGCTTTAAAGAGGAGAGAAATGAATCTACGTAGACCAATCATATTCTGATTCTGCAGAACAACAGATTTACTTCAAATCTCTGCTTTTAAATTTTTAGAAGTTTAAATAAAACTCCATTTTTCTTTTCTTTTTCCAAGTTGTACACCTGCTGCCCTTCGTTTCTTTGTTTAATTAATCATTTGTTTTTTCCTATTCTGCAGTGAATTTTTCTTTTCCTAACAATAGTTCTCATTCAGGAACTCCCTTTTATCCCACTCTGTTTACACGTACTATAAACAGAGTCAGATTAACTTGGGAACACATTCTCAGAATTGTCTGTATTATCTTGACTTCTTCAGAGCATGTCTCCTCCTCATTTGACCCCAAGACAAAATCTTCCACCGTGCAATGAGAATCCTGAAAAGGACTGTGAACCCCACAGACTTGCTAAGGATACATGGGAATCCTGCTGGTCTTTAGCCTACTTCTACTATGGATCCTGCCATTAGCCTCAAGAAACATTAGAATGAATGCATGACAAGTACCAGAACATTCTGGGGCCAATACTTCCAATGAGAAATATAATTAAAATTGATGGATGTTCCAATTAACACCTATGATGCCTTGCTCAAGGAAGAGATTAGCAAAGGTAGAAACATGAGCTTTTCTTACAATGGACATATTACATTAAAAGCTAAGCGTTGTCAGTTGATATACTTCCTTTACTCTATGTAGTATAGGCTACATCAAGTTACAACAAATTTCTTTCAGTGCTGACAAAATACTATTACACTGCAGTGATCTGGTTTTAAAATTCTCCTTTTCTGTGCCTGCAGATCTACTAAAGTAATCACTGCTCATCTTTCCACTGTTCTTTTGATTTAATACTCGCATAGAAAAACTCTTAGAAAAAAATAGCACAATGGTTTTTGTTTTCCTTTTTTCCCCCCTAAGCTGTGATGGTTTAAATTTAACAGTGGAAATTCTATAAATTTCTCAAATGATTTTTACTACTTCTTCCCTGATTCCTGATGACTCATTTAGTCAGAAAATGGGGCTAATACTGCAACACAGGATCCAATCTCAGGTCATTACAGTGACTCTGATTGCCTGAGGCACTAAGTTTAAGTCACACAGATTGGACCATAAAGGTGAGTTGATTAATGCTGTCTGTGATGCTGTTCATCGCAGTTAAATAAGTTCAATCAATTGCAAGTGTAATGTTGCTAAGTACATGAAACTCCTTCTTCATCTGTAAAATCAGGTCATGGACTACTTCTTGAACTTTTAGCAAAAGAGCACAAGATCGTGACTCATCAAGATTGTTTTTGCCCAGCAAGTGCAAGAATACAAGTTTTTTGCCTCCAACTTTTGCTGTATTTGTTAAAAAGTCTAGGAATAGCACATTTTGTTCAGCACTCTGTATTTTCTGCTATACCAGTATAAACACTAAAAATCAGAGCAATTGCTGCTTTTGCAAAGAAGAAGCAAAGAAGAAGTTGCAATTCTGCATGACAGTTAACTCAGGGAAGTCCTTGACTGACAGCATAAAAACTTCATGCTAGTTGTCATCTTTCTCCACAAAACTACATAGAAAGCTGCTAGAGACAACCACTAGTAAAAGAAATCAAGTGTTCTATACTACTAAATTCTGCAGTGCTGGGAAACTCTGGTTCCCACACACAAACCTCTGACTGTAGAAGAACCCATCATTCTCACTGGAAAAAGCACTGCCCTGTGCTACAGCATCGTCATGCTGGGTAGCAACTGATGCTAGACCAGCACGTAAAATGGCAAGACTCAGCCCAGTGCAGGAAGAAGAGAACTCTGCTACTGCTACTAAAAATTAATTTGAAATATATACACAATAAACCTGCTTTGTCCATTTCTTTTTTTCCTACCATAGTTTTAGCCTATCATATAGCACCTCTTCCCACTATCAGGAAGAGGAAACATTTATTTTGGGATGTGAGGGGATAAGGAGGAAGGAGTATTAGATTACACCTACAGCAGTGAAGCATTTGAGACCAGTCTGTTTTCTGTAGAACGTAGGTACTTGGCTTATGTATTTCAGATTCCAAATGCAGTGTTACTTGTAGCCGTGGCTGCTCTGCTCAAGTGAATGAGGAAATGGAGACACAGAAAGGTAAAAATGTTTCCTTAAATACATATTAAATTCAGTCCCTACTGTTAGAGTGAAGATTAATGTTTCTGTCCAGCTTCTGGGCTATCCTTTCACTTATCCCACAGTTAGGTAAAGAGTAAAATGTAAAGAGAAAAAATATGCCAAATTTACAAAACCTATGTAGTACTATAAAACAAATAAAAGGGAAATAAATCACAAAATTTGGTCTACTCTGTTTAGATTATTTCAGACAATATGTAAAGAACAGTTTAGTGTGCACCATCACCTCAGACAATCAGTATTACTGCTGTTTTCCTACTGCTCCAATTTTCTAAAGGGTACATTATTAAGTTCAAGAGAATGCTTAGCCCCTCAAAAAAAAAAAACAAAAATAAAAAAAAAAAAAATTGCAATAATTGAGTAACTTACAAGGAAAACTAGAGAGTTTGACAGAATAGATTCCAAGTAATTCCATATAGATTTGTGA